AGACTTTGGCAAGTACAGCTGCGTGGTAAAGGCTGGTAACGGCGGAGGAGGAAGCAACGGAATCGCTGGAAACAGTGGCAGCGGCAGTTCTGCAAACCCTGAATCCAAAGCCTCACTTCGCCTTTACGAAATTCAACGGAAGAACTACCCACCCAAGCAGCCCAAGCCCACGCCGCCTCGCCACAAAAGTCGGCCTTTCTTTGACCTCTTTCAGACCTCAACTCGAAGTCCCGCTTCTCAAACAATAGCCGCAGTTCAACCTGCCGCCAATCTAGAGGAGCAAAAACGAAGGAGAACTGGAGGCGGCGGCAGCTCCGTCGGCAAAGGTGAGACAAACAAAAAGGGGCTCTATTATTGTTTACCTTCATTCTCATTTGTTTTTGCCATTACTAATATCAAACACACACTCACAGTTCTGGACNCTCTTTCAGACCTCAACTCGAAGTCCCGCTTCTCAAACAATAGCCGCAGTTCAACCTGCCGCCAATCTAGAGGAGCAAAAACGAAGGAGAACTGGAGGCGGCGGCAGCTCCGTCGGCAAAGGTGAGACAAACAAAAAGGGGCTCTATTATTGTTTACCTTCATTCTCATTTGTTTTTGCCATTACTAATATCAAACACACACTCACAGTTCTGGACGCCTACAGCCTCAACGAGCCGAGTGCAACGCGGACGGAAGTGACACTCGACTACGTGAACAGCTTCACAGTGTCAGGCGGCGAAAATGAGGATGGCGAGGAGGGAACTAGTGAAAACAATGCCAGTTTTCTTCAGGTTTCATCAAGGTGGTGGCACCTCTTCTTCATCTTCTTCTTCTTATTGCCACTTTTCCTTCTCTGACTGGTGGAGGTGTTTGTTTGTTTATCTAACAATGCGCGTTTGGTGAACTCCGAAAGTGTAAGCACACAACTGATATAACACTTCTACTCGATCACCGCTAGCCTTAACTGCAAAAAAGACTTTCTCAAGCCTATTTACTACCCTGTACAAAAGAAGTAATCACTACTACTGCTACCACTTTGTAATTGCTCTAAAATGTTTCTGATTGTTACTACTACTAAATTGAACCGCCGCCGTACAACGACTAACAACTGACCAAACTGAACTGATCAACAGACAGACAGACAGGAAGTTTTCACTCCCACCTTTTTACACTACACAGATCTCTACCGTTTGCTCTACCGTTTGAGACTACTCTGTTTTGTGAGCACCCTCACACACAATCAATGATACATTTGTTGACTATGAAAAGCCAAAAAAGAATGGAAAAAGGAGATTGCTTGATAATCACGACAAAGACAGTGGAACTACAGCTCGGTCTCCTCGCCGATGGTGTCAAACTGCTGCTGGTAGTTCTCGTAGATGGTCGTCGATTGATGGCCATTGTCTGGTCCCTCATCACCACCGGCAGGTGCACCTGTAGTACCCTTGTTGCGAAGTTCAATCGCCTGCGAGGAGGGAATCACCTTGCGAATGGTGGACTTCTGGAAGCGATTCGAAAAGCGATTCGACATCAGGGGGACGCGCTTCTTCAGACCGCTGGCAATCTCGGGCGGTTGGGGCTAGAAAAAATGTAACTTGTAAGTATGTAGTGAAAATAGAAAGCCGCCGTCAGAAGTTACCGAATTGCCCGCCTCCACTTCGAATGGAGAACTGCCGCCGCCGCCGGCAGTGCCAGTCCGTTTTCGCAGCAGCACCTCATTGTCTGACTTGCTGGCGCTAGTGCTTGTCGATGGCATCTGCTGCTGCTGCTGCTGCTGCTGTTGTCCTTGTCCCTGCTGTCCTTGTTGGGCCTGTCCGCCATTGCTGGCGCCATTGGTGCAGCCGCCGCACTTTTCCAGAGGATCAGCTGAAAAAAAATGAAGTGTTATTAAAGATGGTGATTGACAGACGTCAGCGAAGTAGTTCTCCCGTCTCAGTGTGCCACTCACCGGCAAAGTAGTCCTCATAGGACTGCAGCACGTCATTGCCGAAGAAGTCCGCCGTCTCGTCGGGACAGCGCAGGTCGGCGATGAAGCTGATCAGGCCGAGGGTGATGCAGAGGATGCCTGGAAAGTAGAAATTGGGATTTTTTCAAAATCTTTTTAAATTTAGCACTGACCATTGAAGAGGTTGCCGTAGTAGCACCAGGAGTAGTGCAGCGTCAGCTGCTCACTCTGTCCACTTCCTAGGCCCTCAAAGGCGAGACTAAAAGGGAGCGAGCTGTGCAGACAGCTGACCAGCAGATTGGCCATCAGCAGACTGGCGCCGGTGAAGATCATGAAAAGCGACCCGAATTGAATGACCATCTGAAAGAGGACGTTTGCCAGGAAAAAGAGCGGCACTGCTAGCCTAGGCGTTGCATTTAGAAGAAATAGTAGTGGATTAAACAAAAAGGTAATAAATGACAGTTTTCCACTTGCCAGAGAAAGACATGGGCGAACCAGCCCGCCTGTCGGTAGTACCGGCCAATTCGCACCTGGCCGTAGTCGATCGTGAAGGTCTCTGCCACCCAGAGAATCGGATAAGGCAGGCCTCGGTGCTGGGCGTGCCGGTAGGCCTTGTGCAGCGGGCCAGCTGAAAGGAAAAGTAAAAAGATTTTAGTGTTTTGGTTCTCATCTAAATCTAACCAATCTCAATTACCATCATAGCCGAAGCCGGGCTTTCCCTGCAGCCACGCCCAGCTGAAGTGTTCATTGTAGTCGATCAGATCGCCGTTGCTCTGCACCGGGCCAGGCAGCCCGACCAGCGTCACATTGAGCCCTCGCAGGCCAATGTACACCGCCAGGGTGCCGTTCATCTTCAGCCCCGAGCCGGCTCGGTACTGGCTGGTAATGTCCAGTTGGCCCGTCTCCCAGTACGGGAGGAAGTTGCAGGCTGGGCGAATGCAAAAAAAAAAGATTTTCTGATTTTAGTAGAAAAGACCATTGTAAAATTCTTTTACCGAGGAGGAGGAAGGCGATGAGCAGTGTGGGCATCCAACGCACCAGAAAGGTTATCCGCCGACCCCTGAAGCCGGGCACGATGAGCAGCAGAGCGAGGAGGATGGAGAGGAAGGCGGCCACCAGGCGGAAGGTGACCACGTCGAGGCGGATGGAGGTCAGGTCGCTGTACAGCACCGGGTAGCCCTCGGCGCGAAAGGCAGAGAAGACGCTTGACGTGGTGTCCATGGTTTTTTTCTGATCACCGTGGAGTGAAGATGTCACGTATGCCTCTGATTTTTAGTTGTACACACAGGGTGGCAATCACTGGAGGAGGATATTCACTGCTTCCTGCTCTGCTGAAAAGATAAGGGAAAGGCGGCGGATGTGACAATTGGTGAGAGTTCACTGTTTGCAGCAACCAGGCAGACCGAGAGAGTGCTTTGGAGATAAACTTCCTTCATTGCTTTTATTGATATAATTTCTCTGTTTTTGTATAGAGTAAATGGTGACATTGAGTTGTTGTGTTTTGAAGATAGTAGCCCTCATTATAATGTACAACATTGGAAAATTGGAAGAAAAGGGAGGAGATAGAAGGGGCCATAATAAAGTTGGTGGTAAAGGGGGAGGAGGAGGAGGAGAGTTTACAAAGGGATAGAGCAAGGTGAGGTGAATGGTGTGAAACCAAAAGAAGAAGGATCGCCAAAAGTATTTGTTTTTGTACACTGGTCGTCGTCAATGGAAAGAAAGATATCGCAGGTGTGTGAAAGAGAGAGAGAAAGAGGCGTATAAACGAACAGAAAAATAAAGAGAGGGGGAGGGAAATTGAGTACAAAGAGACCACGCGAGGCAGGGAAAGAAGAAGACAAAAGAGGAGGAGGAGGAAGAGGAAGAGTGATATTTGTAGTTCGTTTCAGTGACATGATCATCATCATGATCATCATTATCTGCAGTCAGTTGGTAGTGGTGGCGGTGGTGTGGTGGTTTTGGTGATGATCAGCAGTAGAAAGACGATCTTGGTGAGATAGACGCAGACACTACCCACTTCACACTACCCATGTTTTCATCACAACAATCAAGTGAAGAGCATCGGCGTGACCAGGCTACGAGCTGGTGGGCGCCAGGTCGACGGTGATGAGGTGCTTCAGCCGGTCCAGGTACTGGCAGTACAGCTCCACGTCATTGTGCGACGCCCCCTGCACCCACAGCGGCTCCAGCGCCTTGGGGCAGCGCTCGTAGATGGCCACGCCGTGGGAGAAGTCAATCACCTCGTCCTCGGTGCCGTGAATCACCAGCACCGGCGAGTTGATCTTCGGAATCTTGTCGATACTAGGAGAGAAAGAGAGAAAGAGTTCAGAGGTTAGAAAGGGGTGGGAAGAATGTAAAGATGTGAAGTTGTACCTTGGAAAGGCATCAAAGAACCAGGACCGCTTCGTATTGGGAAACGCCACGCGAAGGCCACTCATTAGGGGACTGTGAAGAACTGGGTGAGGTGGAACATCGAGCTTAGTAAGCTTCTTTGACAACAACAAAAGTATGAGAGAACGATACTCACTGACAGCGCCGACTTCGTAGCGTGAGGCGAGGTCGACGGTGGGCACCGTGCCGATGCTCTGTCCGTAGAGGATAATCTTGTCCGGGCTGATGCCGAACTTGGTGCGCATCGACGTCCAGGCGGTGTTGATGTCGGCGTACAGGTTCTTCTCCGAGGGCTTCCCCGTGCTGGCCCCGTAGCCCGAGTAGTCGTAGCTGAAGATGTTGCAGTTGATGCGGGTGCCCAGGCCGAGGTAGAAGCTGCTCATCTGGCCCAGGTCGACGGCGTTCCCGTGGCTGAACAGAATCGTGAACTTGGGGTTGGCCGTCGCGCGAATGTGCATACCTAGTGGGGCAAATAAAAGACGTGTCAGCAGAGTAAAATAGAACATCAACAACAACAAAGAAGCCCACTCACAGGCGATTCGATTGCCGCGCGACGAGGTGGCGTAGAAGACCTCAAAGGCGTCCAGCTCCCGCTGGTTGTACTGCCAGTCGGCCCGTTCCGAGAGCTTCAGCATGAACTTCGACTGGTTGTTCGGGTCGGCGCTCACCGAGTAGGTGGGCTCCGGCGGGAGGAAGGCCAACTTGGCGGCGATCCGCCCCGGACAGGGCGGACAGCAGAAGAGGCAGCACAGCTCGCTCAGCGTCAGGCCGTTCATCTTCGGGGTGGAGGTGCTGGTGCTGGCGTTACCACCGGAGGTGTCAATCGCCGGCGTGGTCGCGATCTCGGCGCTGTTCAGCGAAACGTGCTGATGATGGTTGGCGCTATTGTTGTGGTGGCTGTTATTGTTGACGGTGTTGTTGTTGTTCGGCGTCGAGGTGATCGTCGTGCTGGCGGTGCTGGCGTTCGACACCGAGGGAGGGGTGATGGAAACTGAATGGGAGGTGCTGCTGGTGGTGGTGGTGGTGGTGTTGATGTTGGAGGGGGCGACAGTGACCGTCTCCACTGAAGACATTCGGATGCTGATTGCGGCGGTGGTGGTGGTGGTGGTGGTGGGTTTGTTTTGCTTAGGAGCAGCCGACGAGATACGGCTGCTGCGGCTGCTGGTTACGGTTGGTGGGAAGATCCAAAGATACAGTTGTTGTTGTTGTGGTGGTGATGGTGGTGGTGCTGATAACGGTGATTCTCCTCCTTCTCATCAACTCAAATCAATGCATGGCCAGTGGATCAGTGTTCCGCGGATCAGTCTAAGAAGATGGTACAGGTTGCGTCTGTCTGTCTGCCTGCCAGCTCGCTTGATCGATTCACACCGGCTCACCAATTCGTGACACACCGACCGGGAATGTGTGTGTGTGTGTGTGCAGTGCAGTGCACACTCTTCTTCGGAATACCAAGATCTTGCGATTCCTCGGTAAGTTCTCTCGCTTTCTAAACGCCGCAGTACAGAACACAGAACACAGAACACAGACAGACGGAGCAGGCAAAAAGTGGTTGTCGTTGGCGTGCTCAGAAGTCCACCTGACCATACGTTGATTCTGGGCTCTCTCTCTCTTTCTCTCACTCACAATTCAGTTTCAGTGCATTTGACAATGGGGCACACTGCTTCTGCTCTGCTCTGCTTTGCTGGTGGTGCTGTCTGTCTGCCAAAACCGGCTCTCTCTCTCTCACTCACTCTTCGTTGACGCTGACTCGAAATTACCCAGTGCAGGCACTGCACTGCACTGGCACCATCCTGTGTCTCTGATTGCAGTCGCTGTTTTAGTTTTATTCCCTCTTCATTAGAATCATTACACTAAATCAATTAATGACAGTAGTGGTAATCAGACTTTTCCGGGATTTTTGGGTGGCAAAAATGAAGTTTTACACCATCAAATAAATAACTGTACCTAATTCATTGTCAACTCATCATCATGTTTAGGTGCCACTACTACTTCTTTGTCAGCCCAGTGCATTGCCAGTACTTGTTAGAGAAAAGAAAAAGAAGAAGTGCTCAAATGTCTTTAGGTGATCGTGGGTACTTTTTTGGGTGTTCGGTGATGCTCCCACTCTGTAGAGGTAGTGCTGCTGCTGCTGCTGGGTGAATTAGCACCTAATGAATTATTGAATGCAAAGTAGAAAAGGAGGAGGAGTTCTGAAAGGAAGGAAGGAAGGAAGCNTTTTACACCATCAAATAAATAACTGTACCTAATTCATTGTCAACTCATCATCATGTTTAGGTGCCACTACTACTTCTTTGTCAGCCCAGTGCATTGCCAGTACTTGTTAGAGAAAAGAAAAAGAAGAAGTGCTCAAATGTCTTTAGGTGATCGTGGGTACTTTTTTGGGTGTTCGGTGATGCTCCCACTCTGTAGAGGTAGTGCTGCTGCTGCTGCTGGGTGAATTAGCACCTAATGAATTATTGAATGCAAAGTAGAAAAGGAGGAGGAGTTCTGAAAGGAAGGAAGGAAGGAAGCTACCCAGAAATGATAAGAGGAAATTTGTAGTGCTGCTGCTGCTATTCTAGAGTGAAAGACGCAGTGATTGGCAATTTCTCTCCTTTATTTTTTCTTCTGACTAATTTGTCTTCGCACCCAATAGTGACTATATTTTTGTCATTGTCCAACAGCAGCAGCAGGAGAAACATCAATTTTGTTGGCAGCATGTCGACTCCAGGCCACTTCTACAAAGTCAATCGAAAGCACTAGAAACGAAATGATGATGAAGAAAAAAAGAGGAAGAAGTAAGCCAGAGTACTAGGAAAAGAAGCAGTGACCACAACATACAGTGCATGAATGAATGAATGAGCGAGTAAGTAAGTGCAAACGAGAGAGATGAGGTGCTGCTGCTGCTGCTGTTGGCAGTGGTAGACTGTCTTTTCAAGGTCAGCGAGGTCAACGGTAAAGTTCAGCAACGACGACGAAAACAGTGGTGGTAGAGAAAGCGACACGAGAGGACAGTGGACTGCCAGTGCCTGCTGTTTGACCAGCAGCAGCAACAACTGCGACGGCAGATGCCGACGACGACGAGTTGCTATATTTGGACTGCTGCAGCAGCAACAGCAACAGCAGCCCCTGCGGCACTCGCTAACGGTATCTTTCACCGCTCCGACAAATGCCTAGGGAGGGAAATTGGAGAGTGCCTGAGCTGAACTGAACTGAACTGAGCAAATGAGTGAGTGAATCAGATGAATGGGCCTCAATGAGCAGCAACAAGGGCACACATTACTGCACACTGCCGCTCTTGATTGCCACTTGCCCCGCACGCCGGGTCCAGAGAGCAGTTGTCTTTTGCGGATAAGAAAGAGAAAAAGAGAGAGAGAGAGAGAGAGCTAGGTCCTAGCCTAGGCCCAGCTTGACTGCTGCAGCACACGCCTCGAGCAGCAGCAGCAGCAGCCCTGAGGAAATGTGTGGCTTCCTGTGTGCAGTGAATGAGATTGTGTCTCGTGCCAAACGACGGGTCTCTGCCACGAGCCATCCTGTCCGTCTCAAAAAGAACTGCTGCTGCTGCTGCTGTTGCTGCTGACCAGTGGTCAGGAATGGCCAGTGAGCACTCTACACGTGCTGTGGATGACCATCATCAGCTGCCGAGTGCATCAGCAGCAGCAGGCTGCACTGATCATCGCCAGCGGGCACACTTCTTCGTTCGTTCTTCTTCGCTTGCTTGTTTCCACCACTTACTGCATTGCTCTATTATTGACCGACCATCTGACAAGAGAAAACCGTGTGGTGTGTGTGTCTGGAAAGAGACAGACAAGCCGAGAAATGGAGAGAAATAGAAAGAGAGAGACAACCCTTCTACAACCTTCTTCACTGCAGCACTTCTCACCACTAACCGGAAAAAGGGTCATTCGGTGCTAGTTCGTAGTAGCTGCTGCTGCTGCTGTTGTTGTTGCTGTTGATTGCTCGGTCGGTCGGTCGGTCAATCAACCCGAGAGCTACTTGTGGTGAAAGAGAGGGAAAAACGAAAGAACGAAAGAGGCACCCTAAGCAGCAGGATGATTTAGATTGAATACTTGCGGTCAGAAGCGGGAGGAAAAGAAGACGTAGTAGTAGTTGACGGTGCTAATGAGTTAGACCAGTCCGAACAGTCACCGCCGTGTCACCACTAGTTGAAGTAAGATGATGAAGAAGAAGGGAGAAACGAAATAAAAAGTTCAAGGAACTTGTCAGAAGGGGAAGGGGAAAAAAGATGACTGTGATGATGCAAACTAGATGCAATACCGTCAAAGACGAAGAAAAAGGTAAAAAAGAAGAAGAAATTCCATCGATGGCCATCACTTTGGCAAATATTGACAGTGTCACTCAGTCGGCAGTGATTTGGTTCAGCTGCAAATTGAATGCGTCTTCAATGCGATGTCCCCTATCCACCTGGTCTAGGCTGGCTGGCAGGGTCGTGCGACAGTCTCGTGCCTTGACATGCTTTTTGCCCCCTCCACCCCAGTATGACCTCTCCCAATAAATCTTACCTGTTACATAAGTAGTGATAGCAGTGGGCAAACGAAAGCGGGCTCACCTTGCCCTGCCTTGCCTTCCTCCTCAGTATGCCTGTATTCACTTTCACCTCTAGTGCCAATGTGTCTCCTTTTCCGCTTCTTTGTGTGCGTCTCACAGAGCAGGGCACACCTCAACCTTAGTCGCTCTCTCTCTCTCTCAGTCTGTGGCAGTGAAAGTTGAATCATAAGGTAAAATTGTAAAAGCTGTTGGTGCAAATGATCACCAGCACACCGTTACACAACACAGATCCGACACCGTTAGACGGTCGTGTGTCTTTCTGCACACACCGGTGGCACGAGCCAGCTAGGATTTAGACACAGGCTGCTGATGCTGGTGCACCTTTGAACCTTTTGAATGAGAGAGTCAGTCTGCCGATCACAGTGGTGACCAAATGGCCAAATGACCGAGACACACACACACACACACAAGCACACCACGGTCATTGGAGACATATTGACTGACTGAGACTAGTTCCGGTTGGGAGATTGAGGTAAGCCTCAGCGGTCTGAGCATCTGCACCAGGAGCGAAAAATCACTGCCACTCACTGAACACCAATGTCTTTCTCTCGTTTTTTGACTGTGTCATCTGCCCAGGTCTCGTGCCACTCGATATTAGGGCACTGTGCTGCTGCTGCTGCTGCTGCTGCTGTTGATGACCAAAAGTGGCAGACCTAGAAAGGTCTGGCTGAAGATTGCCTTTTAGAGAAGGTCATCCATTTCTGTGGCACCTTTTCAAAAAAAATTTGGATCAGCAGCAGCAGCAGTGGTAAAAAGCTGACCTCCATTACCGAAAAAAAGCGTCTGGACTGTAAATCTGACAGTGGCAGCAGCAGCAACAGCAGCCGTCTCCGCCAGACAGGTGTGGGTGCCTGAACAGTAGTCCAAAAGTGCTGGCCCGAAAGGCTTCAGCAAGCACAGACACACAGACTTACTCTGCAAAGGGTTCATTACATTGTCAGCTGTCCTCCAGGTAGCACTAGAACTGTGCGTGCGCATGTGTGCACTCCATGGAAAGGAGTTCTAATCACACGAGCAAGGTCAATGCAACCAGACAAACAAAACAGGGAGGGGGGG